CATTCTGACGGACCCATTCTATAGGTGCCATGAGCCTCACAACCAGTCCTGTAGTAATTCCACTCCTGGTGACAAAGCCCACAGTTCAATTACAGAATCAATCAGTGTCAGTATCAGTTGTCTCTACAAGCAAGATGAAAGAAGTGTCTATGAAAGTCAAAAAGTTTATCTAAGAAAAGTTAGGAGAAGAAGATGAAGATGGAATAGAGCCATCACAAAAGCAGGAGGAAGAGGAAGAGATAGAAACTACTCAAATCCTGATGTTCAATGTGCTGTGAGATTTGTGAAAAGATTATGGCTGTTGGTCAGGTGAGTACATAGCCACAGGTGAGTACATAGCTGCTCCATTGCTGGGATGGTGGGGTCTGGAATCTGTACTTAGCAGGCAGTGAAGCCAAGCAGCTGGGATCTCTTCCTAGGGAAAGTGACATTGACAAAGCAACTGGAAAAGGGACACAGTCCTTCACCCTATAGTGGCAACTCTTGTTAGCTGTGAGGGAAAGATAGCCCTTCAAGAAACAGTTGGCATTGAACCCAAGCAAGTGGTCAGTCATGGAGAAAGTTATTCAGTACTTGAGGGAACTAGCTGTGGTAGAGATAAGGAATTAACTTTGACAGTAATGCCAGCTCCCAAGATTCAGATGATGTGATATGTATGTGACCTGTGAGAGGGACTGTCGTTGTATGCCAGCACACTGGAAGAAATAAACTGGAATTATAATTAAATGTCAGGTGTGGATAAAGTGGCTAGTCTACTTCAACAGTATGATACTCTCTCTTCCTTCCCATGGGCCTGTGTCTTGGCTGTGGAGAAACTGGTTCAATGGCTCAAAGAAAAAGAAACTGGTTTAATAGCTCCTCCATTACAAATTAATATTTCATCCATTAGAAGTGTCTCTCTGCCCAGGAAGGTGGGTATAGTATGTACACAGCATGTTCTTTTACCTGCATGACCGCAGAAAGAATATGAGGAAGTGGGATGGAAAAGCCATCTCAAACCCTACAGGCATGAGCACATGAATTGCAAGGGAAAACAAATACAAGAGAGGGTCCTTCCAGGAAATACTGGCTGCAGTTCCTAGTGGGTGGATCTCCAGACAGAGAAGATGGTCTGATCTTACCTCTGAGGGTGACAATGAGCCTTCTGGTTCTCATGCACAAGGGATAAGTAATGAATACAATAACCACAACTGGAGGGGTGCTACCTCCAGACACATGGTGGAAAGAGGCAATTGGGTTTATTGGGCTGTGTGGATTTGTTGGTCTGGTACATTTGAACCACAGAAATATGGACACCTGTGCACAGTGTACTCCAATGCTACCAAGTTATAAAGGGGCAAAACCCATCTATAACCCATATATTTCTGGACTGACAAGAGGATCCCAAGATATAAATGTATTGGAGGCCAAAGTGAGCATAACAGGAAATGAGTAGCAAAAGCTGCTCCATAGGCTCCATGCATTCTTGATACAGATTATCTCAGGAGAGGCTATTTCAAGGATCCCAAAGGGTGTCAGTGGGCTTTTGAGCTGCCTTGGAGATGGAGGACATTAAGCAGCTGTCTACCTTGCCTGGACTCTCAGAGGACCCTTCTGCTGGGGGGCGCTAAGAGTAGAAGGACAGTAAATGCTGATTGCTACTACAGCAGTGCTACTACTGAGCAGTGCTCCAGTGGAAGTGTCAAACCAGGACTCCCCAATTCTCATTCTTCAGCTGATTCACCAATTGGAGAACCAAGGAGTAATCAGCAAGACTCACTCACCCTTCAGTAGTCCCATATGGCCAGTGCAAAAGTCCAATGGAGACTGAACTATCATGGGCTGAATTAAGTCACATCACCTCTAAGGATTGCTGCACTACGTGTGCTAGAGCTTCAGTATGAACTGGACTCAAAGAAATCCAAGTGGTATGCCACAACTGGCATCACTTATGCACTTTTCTCACTTCCTCTGGCAGCAGAGTGCAGGCCACAGTTTGCTTTAAAATTGAAGGGGCGTCCAGTACTCCTGGAATTGACTGCCTCAGAGGTGAAACACAGTCTTAGCATTTCCCATGGGCTGCTTCACACTGCACTGGAACAGGGGGAAGCTCCTGAGCACTTGCAATACATTGATGACATCGTATGGGGCAACACAGCAGAAGTTTTTGAGAAAGGGTAGAAAAAAATTCAAATCCTTTTAAAAGCCAGTCTTGCCATAAGACTAAGTAAGATCAGTGGACCTGCACAGGAGATCTCGTTCTTGGGAATAAAATGGTAAGATGAACATCATCAGATCCCCACAGATGTGATCAGTAAAATAATTGCTGTGCCTCCACCAACGAGTAAAAAGGAAGCACAGGCTTCCTTAGGTGTTGTGGTTTCTGGAGAATGCATACTCTGGATTAGTGACTGACTGTAAACCTTCTCTATCAAGTGATCCTGAAGAAGAATGATTTCACACGGAGCAACAACAGCCTTTGAAAAATTAAACAGGAGATGGTTCATGCTGTAGCCCTTGGGCAATCTGGGCAGGACAAGATATAATAAATGTGCTCTATATGAAGCCAAGGAGATTGACCCCACTTGAAGCCTCTGGCTGCACAAGGAAGAAAGAGAGGAAGGGAGGAAGGGAGGGAGAAAATGAGGGAAAAAAAGAAGAAAGGGAGGAAGAGAGAAAGAGAGAGGGAGAGGGAGAGGGAAAGGGAAAGGGAAAGGGAAAGGGAAAGGGAAAGGGAAAGGGAAAGGGAAAGGGAAAGG